CCTGCCCCTCAAAAAAGCCTCCTGTGCACCTAGAGAGTCTTGAAGGACACCGAATCCACACCCCGAGCAGAAAGTGGCTGCTCAAGACTTGTTCTCCTTGCTCCTGCCTCACCATCTCCCCTTACTGCTCCTGTTCCCATCCCCTGCGCCCCATGTTCTCTCAATCCCACTACTTTCTGTTGTAGTCCAGCCCTAGCACCTGTTCTAACCACTACATCAATCGAAGATTTCACCTGAGCACTAAAAAATGGAAAAACTTGCTCAAAGTTAACTTACTTCTCTCATCTACCTATTCATCTGCCTGACATCTTGCACACAAATCAGCTGTGCAGCACAGCCAACCACCTTCTGACTATGCAGAATCTGGTGAGCCCTCATGCCGTAAGTTTTGACATGGCCAACCAGATCCGCTTCTCCCTTACACCAGTCATCTCAAACAGCAGGATTTGCCTCTGTCATTCATCTCTCTCAGATAATGGTAAAAAAACAAAAAACACTGTCATTTGAAGACAACCCCATTTGCTGTGGCACAAGTTTTATCTCCTTTTTCACCCATACCCTGCCCAGAATCAGATCCAGCACTTTGAATCTGAGTGAAATTCCCCTCCTTCGGCCTGGATCTAGGATAAAAATTAACCTGACCTGAGTGAAACACAAAAACCTATTTCAAATAGTGACCAAATGATGTTCACCTTCACAGAAAGTCTCAGCAGGCAAAATGCCTTATGTCCACCACTCTTAATGGCATATTTCACTTGATGAAACTCAGCACCATTCAAGAGGGACCCACTTCACCCCAGGATCAGGCTTTTTAGCTTTAATCTTCCTTACACTGGTGTAACAGAGAAGTAAAGGCTGCTTTCCTATGCATAATCGCAGTACGATTGATCATCCTGATCACCAAACCCAGGTATAGATGGTGTTCAGAGGTTTTCCCATCTGTACCAGTTCATTCTAAAATCAAAATATAGACCTGATTCTCTCCCCACTGTATTTCTCTACATCTCCAGTCTCCTCCGTCTTCTGGTTTACACGGCAAGCAGACTCAAGCTCACTGCGCGGATCCGCACACAGAAATGCCCTATTTGAATTTCCATCTGTCAATAACATTAAAGCAGAACCACCGCGGCAATTACAAGTGTACACAATAATCTTGTCGTCCAGTGTCTTTAGCGCATCCCAGAATGCATTAAGATAGTGCCAGGAGAGATTCGGCTCTGTTGGCTCAGCTGTAAATCTGCAATCTGTACAAAAACACCCAAGTGTCAATCAAAAGACGTTCCTGCTCTCTGCGTGGTTCACAATGCATAATTTAGCTACTATGCTTGTCAGGTTCTCCACGCTGCTCTTCTACCCGACGGTAAACGTGTTCATGAACCCAACTGTCATCAACAAAGGAAAACAGCACACGGAAATAACAGGCTAAAGGAGGCAAGGGACATCTTTCCCTTTCACAGTTAAAGGAATTGCTAGTAAGCGAAAGTTTAGTTAGACTTTAATTTTTAATGCTCAATGGGTAAAACATCCCAAGGGATGGAGGATGTTGAAAAACAACTGCAACAGCGCTCTGCTGAGGAGGAGGATAGTGCTTGGGTAAGACGCAGGAGGGGATGAAGGCTGTCCCTGCTTCCATGCCTTCTAATATAAAGGGGAAATTTTAACTAACTGATGGGAAGTCTATGACACCCCACCCCTATGGGGCAGAAAACAAATCCCACCCTACCACCACAGCCCTGCCACTGTCAATGAACTTTGAAGCAGGTTGTCCTTCCTCATCTGAATTACAATTGCTGAGCGGCTTTGTCAGAAAGGATGAAAATTTCACACTCAGCTACATCAGGCAGTAGCTACCCACTGCTCTACACCACAGTTAATATGCAATAAAAAAGAAATCTCTGTCCCAGGACGTGACTTTAGAGCTGATCAGTGCCAAAGCTACAGACCATAAGGACAGCTTCACACTTGCCTCAGCTAGTTCATGAATAAACATCCAATTCATTCAAATGAGTTCTATATTAACTAATTTAAATAATTTTCATTTTGCTTTGAATGGTAAACAGATCTATTCTGCCAGGATAGTTGAGTTTGCAATTCAAATTACACACCGATTTGTAATGAGAAAAATATAATTAATGGCAAAGCTTGAAGTAACTACAATTTTACTCCTTTGATTTCCTGCAGAGAAGGAGGGGGCGGAGGTGAAGCTCACAGGCACATACGCACTCACGACGTCCTTTCATAAGCCGATACATTTTATTGCAAACTCAAGTATTTGGCCCTCAGTCCTATTCCAGTGCCTTGCACTGTAATGTCAAGGGAGGACATAACATGACTTGACATTATACTTGCAGGCCACATGATGCAATACTAACGTCACCCAATAAATAATCATGTAACAGTCTGTAAATTAAATGACTTCCTTCTATTGGGATCAAAACCAATAATTATTTGGCAGCTGCCCCTTAAAAGCTCTGTGTGTGCTGAACATTAAATCAAGCTCTATTGATTTGCTAAACTGAACCGGCCCGTTTTTTTGCATCTTTCTCCCATCTAATGAAATTCTTCATCCTATCACTCTGTATCATTCTTGTCTGGCATCGCATTTATAAGATGAGCGCGATCAGTCCGATCTGGTTCATAAGCAGAAACAGAGCATTGTCCCAGTGCTGGTATTTTGCCTGTTAAATAAGTCCTTCTTGGCAGATCTGCTTTTTAACCAAAGCCTTCAGCTGCCGATTAAAATCAAACCCTAATGACAGATAACTGGCCCTGGCCATGCTGTCTGCATGGTCTTGCCAACAGATATCCTCACTGTAATCAAGACGTGCAGAATCAGGCCCTTAGAAGACAGGTCCATGCGATTTAAAGCTGGCTTTCGTTTCTTCCAAAGATTTGACAACAAAGCAGCGTGCAATGCTAAAAAGGTAAAAAACCTCCACAGAGTTCATAGAGGGCATCACCTTGTCTACAACCAACACAAAGTCTGATCCTGCAGGGTTCACCAGGCAAAACTCTCAGCACTCCAGTGAAGTTTGGCTTGTTAAGATACATTCGCTGATCAGCCAAGCAACTAAGCACAGGGCAAACTCCAGATATCTGCATACAGTAAGCCTAGTACTCACAAGCCACCTTTAAAAGCTGGTCAGAGCTTAGTTCTCCCTACAGCAGATGAGGGGCACCCTTGAAAATCCAGCCTCCTCCTTGCGGTGTCCCAAGGGGAGCTACGATCTTTCAAAGCCACCTCTGACCACAGGCTGGACCCCGTGGGCAAACACCCAGAGGAGCTCTGTGATTTATGAGCACATTTAGGACCTTTCTCTTTTCCAAGTGGGAGAGGTCCTGAAGGCTCAAATCCTCCTGGGCATTTTACATGCCTCATTCCAAAATACGACTCAAGCTCTTAAATGCTTAAATCTCTTTTGAAATTACAACTTAGGCATTTAGTTTATTCTTTCTGAAAACTATACTAAGACATATTCAATAGAGTTTATCCACTGAGAATGGGAGTGGAAAAAAAGCAAACCAAAACAGGGCAGTTGTCCAAATTTAAGACCCTGGCATACAGTTCATCACCCAGCCAGAGGAGAAAGGAGGTATGACGCACTGCACATTTGCAGTCATTCAAGCAAGACAATTCACATGAAGTAGCCACAACCCAAAGAGCAGATTCCAACATTTCCATGAAAAGCAGTTGCCTCCGGTTATAAAACAATCGTTATTTTCTATTAAGACAGTCGATAAGATCTCTTACCCCTTGACCCTGGCATTTTGAGATTTAGTTTACAGCACTGTACACCTTCCTGGTAACATTGATTATAATCCACATAATAAAAGGTAGTTTAAGAGACCAATAAAATAAAATACCTAACCCTTCTCACATCAGCTTGATTTCCTAGTGCTAAGCCAACAGATTTCTCAACCATATTTGTCTTCAAGAATTCTTTTTCTTTTAGGCAATCAATCTTCTGTTTATTCAAAAGACACAGACCGGAACAAAAAGATAAGTTTTTAGCTCAGAGTTCAGCATACACAAGGCAAGAATGTCAGCTCTGATTCAAAGACCATGTCTACAGCTCACTTCAGTGGGAGGTCAGGCAACACCTACACCAGGAAAATCACACATGGCAGACAAATGTCACGTATACTTTTTTCAATGGTCACATGCAACAGAAGGTAAAAGAGTAACTTCAGCAGCAGAATCCTTAAATTAGAATTTTCTTAAATTCATGCACAAGCTGGAGGCTAAATATTCATCTTTTCTTCCCTTGATTCAGAATAAATGGGATATATGGTGGGAATATGTCTGAGCAACAGTGAAAAGTATACCTCTGCTTGGAGCTACATAGTGGTAAGGATACACAGCTGTTCCATTGCTGTACAGAGCCAAAACCCCACTATTTTTTCTTACACACTAGGGATCAAATTGTATTATTAACAAACTGTTCCACACGGGCCATTCCGTAATCCAGAGCTCTTGCACTCAGCTTTTGTGCACCTTACAGCTGATAACTGGGACGTGTTCTAACCTATGATGACCAAATTTTGCTACCTTTAATTGTGTGTTTCTGCCATTGGCATTAAAACCTGTAAGAATCTGGCAATGGAAGGTTTTGAACAGCCAACTTGTGGTTTTGGTTACACCCAAACTGATCTTGCTTATTTTAGTTTATGCTCACTCTGAATTTCATCCTTCCTTACAAGAACAGGACAATTTTGTCCCCCAACTGAAAATCACAGCTTTACAATTTAGCACTAAGTTTCCTTTTTAAAACAGTTTCCTACAGAAGCGCCTTCTGTTGTTACCAGCCAGGGCAAAAACGCCTTTGCTAGAGGCCGACTGGCAAACTGAACCACCCACTGACCTGTGGGGACCTGACCTTGACTGCACCACCCAACACCAGTCAAGGATCTGGAGCACCCATTCCAGATCGACTGGAAGTCTGGAGATTAACCACCACCCAATAGCAGAGCATGACCTTAACAAAACACAGAGAACTCACCATCTGGAGGCATCAGGACCTTGTTATTCTGTGTACACCAGCCAACGGGGTGAAGATCTGCTGTCATCACGTCACACCAGAAATCTGCCCTGCGGTCATCTCCATAGCCACAGTAACGAAGCAGTAAGAGCTGTCCACATGTTGTAATGATCGTAGCCACCCAATATGTGTCTGGATTGCTCTTGTTGGCCACTTCTAATTTCATTCCTGGTTGGAAACTGCTTTGAAGGCTGATTTCAACCTTACAAAATGAGAAAGGCATGGTGTTACCTTTTCTTCTTTGCAGGAAGACCCCCTCCCCCACTAAGCAAGATAATGCTGCCCTTAAAGAGAAGCTCTGGGATAGGACATAAGTTGATTGTGCTCCTTAATCCAACCACCTCCTTCACAGTCTGCCTGGGCAGGACTGTTCCTACTTCACTGGCATATACCCCATCATGCAAGGCCCCACATACTCCAAAGAGGCCCTCCAGCAGTGGTAACCTCAGGTTCACTCCATCTAAGAGACTACTGGTACCCATCTTCGCATCATAAATCTCACTAACACCTGGGAGAAAGCCAGTGTAACTCAAATGAGGTTGCATTTCCCACTGCACAGCTCCATCGGGCAAATCACAGGACACATGCAAGGTAGAAAGCCAGGTACTAAGCAGCTCTATGAGTTAAGCCCAGCAATAATAATGTCATACAACAAGACTAAGGTGAGGAAGCACCTCTTGAGGCTTGACAAGCATCAAGGGCTGAATGCTGTACCAGGCAGACCAATGAAAGCATTTCCACTAAATCTATCCCAGCAGCTCAAGCCTCAACTGATTCGCTCTCCCAGCACCCTAGTAAGGAAGGTATGACCCATTGCTGAAAGAAGCAAATGGTTTGGGTCACTGTCCTGCCATCTGATGGAGGTGTCACTTCCATTTATCTTGCCAGTGACAGGTCACATGTAACTTGGCTTAGGACATTGGAGATGCCAGCACATCTCTTCTAGGACACTGCAGGGACTGCTGTTAAACACTAGGGCCTCCTGTGGGCACATCGTAACGTGTCTTCCAAGGGCCAGTGGGATGTCTCTAGCTGCTGTTGATAAAGAACAGGCGAATGCCGGTTCACTGGTTCAGGTGCCAGCTTTGTCTTCAGAAAACCATCCAAAACGTAGCCTGTTACTCCCTATCAGATGCTTAAGGACAGGTTCTTACGGGTTTCTTAGTACCTGATCTCCTACTGAAACCAGAGAGATTATAACATCTGGTTTAAGCCTGTCTCTGACTAACTTCTTATTGACATGACAGATTAAAATGCCTCTTTTACTCACAAAGATAAATATAATATGGTCTCCTTGGCCAGCTGAGGACTTCTCAGATTTGGGGATGTCAAGTTGCAGAGGAAACACCAAGCTCCTCTGGGATGTCAGTAGTACCTCTCACTTATCCCACTCCAGCTTATGACACAAGTGCTGCCCAGCCAAAGCCATTCATTATTTGCAGGTTACAACACTCCGTGTGCCTTCACTTGTGTGGGCACTTTCATCAGCATCAATGCCTAGAGTCACAGAACAGCTGAGGTTGGAAGGAACCTCTGGAGATCATGTAAGATTGAAAAACGTCTGTGACATTGACTACTTTACTTAGTCATAAGATAGGATCTTAGTTCTTCTGATGCTAAGGGTCCTCAATAATAATGCAGGATATATGTTCATTTCTATTTTTAATCCTTGTGCTCACCATAAGTAAAGACCAAAGTGGTATTCTGGAGGCAAGGGACTTGGGACTGGAAATCACAAAATGAGGGGAATCAGACAGATAGTATAATCTTTTCTGACAGCTTTCAGGTTCCTAGCCAACCCAATTTTTTTGAGGAAAAAGTTCCAGATTGTGAAGCAAAGTCGCTAAGGACTGTTCCGAGCACTAACTTGCCCTGCATCAACAGTCCCAGGATTGAGGTGCTGTGAGAGACCGCAACCAGCAGGATCAGCAGGATGAGGTGGGCATCTCCACACACCTAAAGACATCCTTAAGCACTTTATGAAGCACAAAACTTTCACCCGGATCTGGTATTTGGGGGCCCAGAGCAGAACCCTGGAACAAAATGCTCTCTCCAGACAGCTGCTGGACCAAGGATAAACTCTACAATAAAACGTGGGCAATAAAACTCTGGTATAGAGAATTATGGTCCTTCATCCTGCAATACTCTACTGTTGTTAAAATGGAAGTAAAATAGGGGGTGGAGGATTGTATTATTTTTTTCAGATGTAGATGGAAGAGAGGCTTTTCATCACTGCACCTCCTTACCCCTTCAAAACAAGCCAAGAAACCACCTGGAGACAAAGATGGTTTAATGGCGTGAATGCAGTCATCCAAACTGGGACTTCTCTTGAAGTAGCAACAGGTTCTTCAGGAAGTTTTCTCACTGCAGTACAACCACACTGTTCCCACAGGACATCTCTGCCACCAAACAGACTGAGTGTAAAGCAGCCCAGAGCATCACAGCTAAAACCCCTCTCTTCACGCTGAAGATATCCACATCCTCCAGAGCAAGCAGACCAGCCACGTGAAGCTGGGAGAAGAGGAGCCGACTGATGAGCAACCATAGCAGAACAGGCTACAGTTCTGATGGGTCAGGTAGGAGGATGAGCAGCACCATCCTCAGGGGACTTGAGCTGAGGACAGAGAACCACCATGGTTTGTCATGGCTTGACTCTGATGAAGGCATCATGACACCTTCCCACTAGGCCCCAGCATCCCTGATGTGGGCCACAGTCTTGTGGTTGAATGACAAAGATGTCCCAGAAAAATCTATCAATGTGGTCACACATGCATGCCCTTGACTGTGATGAAGAACTTGTACATCAGCTTAATTTCTGTCCCATGTCCTCATGTGACATCACACATGTGGAGCTGAATAGAAGAGGTTAAACAACTGGTGGTGGATGGAGAAGCTGGTCCCAGACCACAATATCCTTGACTGTGATGGGCTCTGCTTGGAGACGGAGTCCTTTTTTCAAAGCATGCTCTGATCTTCTTCATCAGTCAAGATATCATAGACTTCAAATGCTACTTGCACTAACATGGACCAGAGCCACAGACCATGCTGTAACTACCATGGCTGTCTATATGAGCCATGTTCACCCAGGAAAAGCATCACCTACCCAAGTACTTGGTTCTCATGCTCCTGAGATAGCATCTCCAGGCAGGAGGCTGAGAGATGGTTTCCTATGGGCCATGCTGGGCTCTAGTGCTGAGTGACCCTGCTAGTCCATAAACCACGCATTAAGAGGACAGCTTTGGAGAAATAAGGCACTTTTGTGAGATTAATCTCTATAGGCTGGGATGGACAGCATGGAATAAATCAGGAGAAAGAAAAACAGATTAAGAGAAAAAAATGAGTGCATTATAAGCAAAAGTAGAGCGCTGTAAGCCCTCAAAAATGGAAAATTTGAACCCAAGGCAGAGGATAAGGCAGTGGCATAGACGCAGTGCTCCAAGCTGTGATTGCAGATGATGCAAACACACCCAAGTCCACCTAACACCAGCCAGCAGGCCGTATCTACACAGGCTGCCGCATGCACAGAGGGATGATTTCTCCCCAGAATAGTCAGACCCCACTTGAGTTCTCCAGGGACCCCTGAAAACCAGAAGAAGGAATGCACGCAACGCCAGCACGTACATGTTTGAAGGAGGTGTGGGGAGCAGCGCTGGCTCCTGTTTCCTCCAGGAACTCGTCCCAGTTGAAGTCTGCGTCCTCGATGCTGGAGCCCTCATCTGTTCAGAAGCAAAAAAAAAAAAAGAAAACAAAAAAACCACACAGAAAGAAAAGCAGCCTAAAAACACAGCCAAAGAAGGCAAAAGTTGTGTCAAAGAGTTCAGGGTGAGAATAGCAACCAGTATAAACATCAACACAAGGGAAAACAGAAAGCTTGTTTTAAGGATCTGTGCTTACCTAGTTTGACCAACTCTTACTAAACTTCTGGCAGACTTCGGGACCTTAGCGGCCAACACTTTGAAATGACTCTGCTTTCATGGCAGAACCTGCCATGCTGCAACAGGCACTTGTGCTCTTTTATTTTGTATTTGATGACTCTCTTGCTGCAAGAGAGGGGGCTGCCTGTCTGTTATCACAAGGGTGCAATGGCCTTGCTCATGCCCTAAAATCGGGTCATCCAGCACTGTTAATCACAGCAGTGCCTTAGTGATAATACTAGAAGTTGCTTCCATTGGCTGAGCAGTGTGTAGAGCAAACACCCCAACCCTTGGGGCTGAGGAGCCCCAGGTTCACTCCTGCCACTCTTTCTCTCCTTCCTCAGCACCCCTCCACCCAGAAATCTCAGCCGAGGCCCCCATGCCTCCCTTTCCCCCAAGACTACAGCTGCTTTCCCCCAAAACCCCCAGCACCCCTCACCAGACCACTACTGCTTTCTTGTTCCCTGCGCTTGTCCTTGCCCCATTTCAGATCTGGGGCTCTGCATCATGCCTCCCCCATCTGCACCATTGCCCCACACGATCCTTCCCCACAGTGAAGGACTTGACGTTATTACTCTTTTTTTTTTTTTTTTATAACCACACTGAGTAGAGCAGAGCTGAGGCCTCAAATCATCTCTGAAACACACAAAGCAATAATTAAAAATAAATCTTCTTCCACTTACAGAAAATCAGCCAAATCTGATTGTTTTCATTCTGTTCCCAAGCAATCTCGCAAACCCAGTTCCATCCCCAGAGCAAAAATATTTACAGTCTAGCAATGAGCTCTTTGCAGTAAGCATTTATCAGGCAAACTCTGCGAGACCCTTACCTGCCCAAACATTCATCAGCGTGGTCATGATGTAATTAAAGTGACTCATGACAAACTGAATTAAGAAACCTCCCCAGACAGTTTTATGAAGAAAACGGCAGGGTTAATTTATTGCAATTATTGCTACAGGTCTCCCGTTTTCAGGACCAGAAAATTATGTTGTGCAGTGGGAATCTCTCATTATTAAAAGGGGAAGACATAGGTTTTATTTGCTGCCTACAGAGCCAGACATAGATAGGCGAGGGGAAAAAACTGGATCAGACCAGGGTTTTTGAGACAGAGCTGGTGGATGGTAGAGATCTGACTGGGAGTCCAAAGAGGAGCACTGAGCTGTCATCGCTGTTAAACACTTTGCACACTTCTGCGTCAAGTCTAAGGTCTGACTCCTTGCCTTAAACTCAATTAACCTGCTTAAATATGAAGATGTAAATCAACATTTACTCCCATGATAAAGTGGCTACCAGATGACTTTTCAACTCAGCAAGACAAGAAATAACCCAACTCCATGATTACAACCTGAAAATAGACAAATTCAATGTAGAATAAGGGACAGGCCTTGTTTTGTTTCTTGCAATGATTGCAAAAACCTCCAGGCATAGAAGCTGACTCAGATATTTGACCCAAAATGAGGGGTTTGCTCATTCTTGACTGAAAGATAAGCCACAGCTTAACCACAAGGTAGAAGTCTGGTGCAAAAATTGCTAAGCATTTCCTTCATCTGTATCATGCAGGCAGGCAACTTAGATGATCAGGGAAATTTTTCGGCCTTAATGCCTGCAACCCTGTGGAAAAGAGCCAGGTCCAAAGAATTCAAAGGCTGAGCCTCTAAAATAAAGTACATTAGTCCACAAGTAGATAGGCAGATAAGGCTTAAAATTACTCTGATGCTTAAGCAACTTTCTACCCTGAGCACAACCAATCCCCGTCCCACTAGAAGTCAGCAACATCTGACATGAAAAGCAAAAGACAAAAAGCTCAAAGTGCATCCCCTCTGCTTGGCTGCTCCCCGCTTCTGCACCCAGCTGCGCTTGTGGTGTTGGGAAGGGTTGCTCAACAACCCCCAAGGACATCTTCACCTCAGGACATCTGACATGGACAAGACATTTCCAGATGCTCTCTGTATATTCTCAGTTTTTATTACTGCTTTTTGCTGTAACCTGTTGGGCGAGTCCAGACAAGTATCTCCTTTTCTCCAGCCTTCCTCAGCCCTATGGAAGGGAGTCATTCCACAGAGCAGTAGCAGCAAGGATTTTTAGGCAGTTCAGTATATAACCTCCAGCCCTTGCAGGCAGCTGGTTTGTCTCCAGGGTGACAAAATCTTCTCCAGAATTTGCCAACAGGACATTAATTATGTTAGCATTAGAGATGCTAGTTACGGATGCATCAAGTCCTCCTGTACTTCATAATCTTACTACCCATGACCTACTCTACCACACGTCAACACAGAGAGACCCGCTGGTCCCACTGTCTGCACAGCCCCACCAGCAGGTTCATTCACCTGCAGTCCAGCAAAACTCACAACAGCACCTCTTTAATAAAATATCACCCAGATCACTCCTTTCTGAACCCAAATAGACAGGCTTTAAGACCTCAGGGGGAGGCAGTGTGAGAGCTGCAGCCTTTCCTCCTTGTCAATTCATTTCTCTCCGACACATCACAATTCTGACTCCTCTACTGTGTTTTATCTGCAGACTTTATCAGGAAATTACTTTTACAAGGTCTGTAAAAGTAATGTCAGAGTATTCATTTATCACGGTATCAGTGTTTTATTTTGCTTTATCACAAAGGATTTTGAAGGGACTGTAAGTTTCCAAAATGTTTTTTTATGGACTTTGTTCCCTTCTAGGAATCTGGCAGTGGGGCATCCAGAGCAGAGACAGAGTGGCCCAGGGATGAGACCAGCCCAAGGGACCCAACCCCATCCGTGCACGTAACGGGGCTGTACACAAATCTCCTCATCCATCAGAAAAGCCCTACTGCTGAGGAAAAGAGCAAACCTCTTGCCGATCTCTCTCAACTGCCTGGAGATCCCCCGATTAAAATGCAGATAGAGAAATGCAAAGTCTCTCTTAATATACAACAATGAAGATTGTGCCGACTTGAGAAGTGGTTATCACAAAGCCGATCTGTTCATCACTCCTCAAGTAACACGCTCCAAGAACAAAGTCCTGGCTCTGCTGGAGAGCTGCAGAACCCCAGGTGCCAGCATTTCAGAGAGTGCCCTGTGAGATGACAAATTTGGCATTAGGCCTATTTTACATATCAGCTCCCTTTCCAATTATTGGTACTTAGGCCCAGTGCTCTTTCTTAATGAAAGAGTCAAGGCTGGCTAGCCTACAAAACGGTGATGTATAAACAAGTCCAGGATGGCAAATAAAATCAACAAGTCATTATCTGTGAGCCTCTCAATGGCTTTAAAGTGTTCATGCATTGACACTATAAAAATGCAACTGTTCCAGCTGTTAACAGCCTCCTGGGATTTTTTGGCTATGGGAAATAAAGGGGATATAAGATCCAAAACCTGTGGCTCCAGAAACACAGATTTTTCCCAGGCTTCACTGAAGGGGAACATATTTGTGGCAAATTGCTTAGCCATCTTATTTACAGCACATAGATACATTCATGACTTTTTGAGTGAACAGAGAACTGAAATGTTTTAGCAGTTAACACACCAAGCAAGGCCGGGGGGAGGGTGGAACCTGATCAACCACAGACCTCTGGCATGGCCTTGGGAGAGTCACCAAGATCTATATTTCCAAAGAAATCTAGGCACCACCGGCCATTTCTTCTCATTCCAAAACCAATGTCTATGGTTGGCCAACTGAATCTCATCCTAGAGGCTCCCACCTCTCTCCCATGGACATAAATGGGCTCAAGCTGCGCCAAGGGAGGTTTAGGTTGGATATTAGGAAAAATTTCTTCACGGAAAGGGTAGTCAAGCATTGGAACAGGCTGCCCAGAGAGGTAGTGTAGTCGCCATCCCTGGAAGTGTTCAAAAAACTGGTAGATGTGGCACTTTGGGACATGATTTAGTCTAGTCTACCCTTGATTGGTTTAGTGTGGACTGGGTAGTGTAAGTTAATGGTTGGACTGGATGATCTTAAAGGTCTTTTCCAACCTAAACGATTCTATGATTCTATTCTATGATTCTAAATGGATCCAATGGTGACTAGATCAGGCTGCAGGTGTCCACTCTGGACATGTCTGAATTAGAGGACATGAATCCCACCTCGAGAGAGGGGTCTGCATCACGTGAGCAACAGGGATTGAGATGTTCCCCTCTGCTCCAGCCACGGTTAGCTTTCTTCATCCTCAGTGGGGAGAAACAGGCAGCTCCAGATGGCAACTCAACCCAAAGGCAACCCAGCACCCGTGTTAAAATGGGGTGACTTGCTTTTTGGAGCTGTATCTTTCTCTTCACTGGTGGTACAGGCAGCATCAGATGACTAGGTTTTGTAAGGTGTTTTAAGACACCTCAGCTCCAGATTCAGATGTTTAACTCTAGAGGGCCCTTGGTAGTCATCTTTGAGTCACACTACAGAAGCGAAGCTCTTTCTCTTTCAGATCTATAGGAGGATCCAGGGCAATATTTATGTTCTTACCTAAGGTAACATAAGAGTGTCCTGTTTCCTTTAGGTGGGATGAATTCAGGTTTCTCATCACAACCCCTCCATACTTACACATCCTCCCCTTCACAGAGACAGTGCACTTTTCCTTTATGCTTTGCCTCCTCCTGGATGCCTAGAGATATCCATTAGATGAGGGCAACCATGTGTGTCACTTCCCCCCAGGTAAGTTCCTATCATGCAACTATTTCTGGTTCAGGGGTTTCCTTGAGGCAAACATGGGTTTTAAGCAGCCAGTACGCTGCACCTTTCTCCCATAAGCATTTCCAATTTCCCTGTGAAGCCATCTGAAACAACCAGAACCACTGTGTATACCATGGAAAAAAACCCAAAACTTTGGCTGGGCTAACAACCTCAGAGCACAGGAAAGTCTCCACCTCTCTGTGTCCCACCTAACATGCAGAGCTTAAGAGCCCAGTTGAACCTATAGGCATCACAGCAAGGCCAACTGGACTACCCCACAGCTCAAACACATTTTCAGTGCAACACAGACAGTTTGCATTTTTTAGAGGACATCCCTCTGCTGACCTCTTGAAAGCCCACCTGCATTTCCATCTCAACTGCACAAGCACAACGCAAATTGCACAAGCATATTGCAGTTCCTTTCTAAGAGCTGCCCAGGTGGGCAATGGCAACCTGCAGGCCAAATGTGCCACCCTAGTTTATCATTTTCATGGCAAAAGTTGTAGAGGATGGCTGCATTGCACAAGGGGCTGTGCAAAACAGCCTATCCTCACCCTAAAAAGCTTACAAAGTCACCTCAAGGACCACAGGTCATAGTTTAACTGGTATGGTCTTACACTGCTGTAAGTCTTCTTCCCTCAACGCATTAGTGAACGTGGCAAAGATTCAAAGGCCAGTCACAGCTTCCCAATGGGTGGTGTCCCAGGAAATAGGAAAATGACCGAGTCACTACAAGAAGTGAAGAAACTAAAGGCTGGGTGGCCAAATTTCTGAGGCGCTGATGGAGAAACAGTAAAAAGCGGACCAAAGACACAGCTTTGCAAAGGACTTCAGCACAGCACTGACCAATAAAGCACAAACAGCACCACCAGAGAGAAAAGATGCAAAAGACAATGAAGGCAAAGTATGCAGAGTTTTTAAGCAGTCACCCCAACACTGCTACTGTTGCATTCGAGTAGTGTTGAACCAATGATTCACCACTGGTGAGGACACCTATTTCTGTGGAAGCAGACTTTAGGCAGCCCTTTAGGAGGCCCACCTGCAAGCACAGACTTTCATCTGCCATTTACGTCTCAGGATCCTTTTGTCAAGAACAGCTCTTACAGAAATGCAAGCGAGTTCTGGAAAAGCATTCAAGCATATGAGCACCAACACAGGTACCACAATGCAAAAACAATCCCTTTTGTACAGATTAACTGACTGATAGCTCAGTGTTTTTCTCCACAAGTTCATCAGAGCTCTTCCATGCAAACACAGAGCGAGGATGAAGTTACAAGTTATAGCTGAGCCAAATTAACAGTTCAGTGCCACTGGGAGAGATCCCATTCCCACCAGTGTGGGAATGTGCTCTGGCCCTCCCTCTTTCTCCAGCCAGTTCAACTCACAAAGCTGGCAGAAAATTAGCCACTTTTTTTTTCCTGCATTACCTTTCTGCTGGGTAAGCAAGTTGATTGACTCAGCCCAGGGTGTGACAGACAACAGAGGTGATCCAAGAGAAGAGAAGGTATAAAAGAGACGTCTCCCATTTTGGCATCAGAAACTAGATTGGGTCTAGCCATAATGTGCAACTTCACCATAAAATACAGTCTCTTCCTCTTAATGCTAGATATGGGAAGTTAAAGCTAGCAGGAATCATCAGAAGATAGCACTTATTTTTCTGTATCTACCATGATGATGCCCAAATTTAGCACAGTGAATCCTCACCTTTAGGTGCCCATCCCACAGCATTACAGAGCATCCAGTCACACCCATGAACACAAGGACAACATGTGACCAGCTCTCTGCTGGCTGGTCTAATGTTTGTGAAGCCCTCTCACCTGAAGCACTCAAAAAAAACGTGAAGGAAATGAGGGTGAAGGTCAAAACAAAGGAGAAATGCTGTAATTTCTGAATGGTCATTTCCTCTCTTTAACCACAAAACTTCAACAAAATAAAAAAGGGTGGGGAAACTGGAAGAACACAATTATGGTGTCCTGGGAAAGGTTTTCCATTGTGTTTTGTTTAAGTTTTGAATAGCTGTTATGTACTGTAGAAGAGATCCAGAAGAAAAGGTCAAATTTCCCAACCCACCAACCACGGGACACAGTCCAATCCATACTACTCAAAAAAGGCCTTCAAGCTGTACAACCATTCCCAACGCTCCCCTGGCAACACGGTTGTCACCACCTTTACCAGTGATCAGCTGGAGGGCTGTAACAGTGAAGACAGCTCTTGGGGCTGAAGGAGAGCTCACCTGAATCAAACTGCTCCCTGTTCCCATTAGCCGGGCTCTGACCCTTCTCTGGGGAGAGATGCTGGGTCTCTTGCATGGTGGCGATGAAAGATGCCCTCGTCTCCATGGTTCAGAGGAAGAGGCCTTGCCTTCCTAATTCATCCTGCAGCAGGGAGTGCCTAGAGAACAAGCTAAAAGAAAAAAGATAAACAATGAGTGATTTGTTCTCCCTACACCAACCCATTCCCTCAGCATTTCCTAATGGTTTTCAAGTTATCCCATGTTGACTGTAACCCTTCAATCCTGCTCTCTCCTCCAAGGTGAAGCTGGAGTTGGATGAGGAACCACAACAAAGGACCACAGTGGCAATAATATTGTAACAACAATAATAACAACAGAGATGATAATGAGGTAATAAACAGCATCCACAGGATTCACATCTCAAAGTTCAGTCCAGCTCCCTGTACCACCAACAGAGAGGGAAGGACCAGCCCATAAGGTGGCACAACCCATGCTAAAAAAAAAAAAAAAAAAAAAAAGGGGCACAACCCCCGACAAAAAAAAAAAAAAAAAAAAAAAGCCAACTGAACCATCCTCCAGCAAGTCCAGCCCTTGACTTCCAACTTTTTGATGGCTAACACTGTGTGAGCTATATCTCACTCCATAAAGATTCAAACTTCCAAAGAGGGAGATCTGTGATAACGAAACAGAGGAAACACTGAAGGGAAAATACTTGGGAGAGACTGGAATAGCTCTAGAAAATAAAGTTCAGCATGCAAAATGCAGATACCCTAATGAAATAGTGCTGGCTGCAACTGTTTTTTGAATGAAGACTGACATAAGGTAACTGCACCAGTTAGTACCGTGCAGGGCAACAAATATTAACTCAGGTGTAGACTGGGTTATGTTGGCAGAGGAGATTCCTCTAGAAGGAATGACTATAGTAAATACAAAGCGGAATAAAAACACACAGAGATGAAAAATTATATGAGAAAGGGAATACAGACTGACTAGATCTTGAATGAGACACCAGACTAAATGAGAACTATATTTCTAGCTACAGTAAGCCACCAGACAAGCAATACCCAGAGATAGACCTTTAGGAGTAGATTAAAAAGAACTCCAAAGTGAGATTTTCAGTAAAATTCTCTGAGATGGTCATGAATTATAAGGTGTCAAAGGAGGACTGAAAAAGAGAAACCAAGAGCTCGGGTTATGGGCACAGAGGGAACCAGTCATTCACACAAGATATACTAAAGCAAAGACAGAGAGTAGGGAAAATGTGTGTCCAGAATATACGATGTGGAGGACTGATCCTGCTTATTAGTGGATGCGTCCAAGACCTGCATGACAGAGAAGACTATGCTGGCAGCACCAACGTCAAATGTTCTGCAAGAAGCATGACTAAAAATAGGAAAAAAGTTTACTGCCAGAGGCCAGGCAAAGCAGGAGGTAATAAGATCGTAAAAATATCATGGGATTTTTTCAACTTTTACTACTCAGGAGGCATATTCAGGAAGACCAGATATGGTGGTTATAAAACAAAAAGAGGGAGAGTGTTCTGTCATAGATTTTTCATTCCCAGTTTTTAAGGATGTTTCAATGAAAATTGCAAGAAGAAACGGACATGTGTGAGCGGTTACAGGAGGAACTGAAAAAAATGAGGAGCATGTCAAGTGTAAGTGTGACATCCATTAACTGAACCATGGTGGGACTGTCTGCTGGAGCAATCACAACAGCATCGAAGCGACTGCAATTAAACCATGCTAAAACCCTGGGTGTTTCACAAAGCATCACTGGTAAAAGCAAATTACCAGGGCAGGTGATACAACCCCCAGCTGAAGGTTGTTTGGGCAAAGTTAGACCCCCATCAGCAATTGGTGTTCCCCACCCCAAAGGAACATGCTAATGAAAGGAAAAAAATATTTTTAAAAAAGGAGACTGTAAACCAATTCAACAACCAACGCTCGTTGGTCTCTTTGCAAAGTGCTTAGTATACTTCAAGCACTCCATAAATAATAATGATCACTTCCCCGCTGTGATGGCCACTACAGCACTTCATCTTTATTCTTTGTTGACATGAGACTTGCTAATGAATTAAGTGTATTATATACTATGAGTATTTTGAGTGCAGCTTACCTCAGAACATATATATCACTCATCCCCAGTGTATATTAAGTTTCAATTAACTATGAAACTAGAAGCAATCAGTCTACTGAAAGTCAAAAAACACTTCTCCTTTGGTAGAGAATACTTCCGTAAATATCATTAATAATAAATTGGTTAAGTATCAGGATTTTACATCAAGCTTGTTAAATGTGAGAGGAGGGGAGGTGTCAGCAGAAGCTAAACCTTGGCTAAACCTTGGATTCAGCTGTTTTCATTTTTGCCTAGGACAATGATGGCAAGTAATCTTGGTCTGTTAAAAAAAATTCAAAGAATGAAGAGAAACAGAGATATCAATTTAAACACAACAAATCAATCATCTTAAACAGAACTCAGGGTAACAATATAAATACCAAGAAGAAAGATAAGCTACTTGGTAGTGTAGTTAAATCTTATGACGCTCCTATGCTGCTGATAAGACAAAGTTATGAGCTGATAAAAAGCTAAAGGTGTCCAATCAGACAACAACAGTATTTGCTATTTCTTATGCAGTCAGGCCCCAAACCTGCTACCAGACCCATGAGAAAGGCCCGTTCCCCTGGGTCAGGGAATTTCCCATCAGAAATGGAAAATGAATGGGAAAACCTGCAGGAACCTGTCCGAGGTGTCTGCAGCATGGCTGGGATCCATCCTTGGTGGCCATGTCTGGGGCTGGGCTTGAGCCCACTTCGATTAAAAGTGGGCAGTGCAGAATCTCTTAGCCAGATTCAGCAACGTCATCAACATTTTTGTTTGTTTAACTCTATTTTAACGTTTTTTTTTTGCTTAAGCTATGGACAACTTACTGGTTTTGAAATGTCATGTCAAGAGCAGCCACATCCCAAGACAACTGACAGTATAGCTTATCTTCTTATTTTGGGAATAGCTAGTTTACCATTTATGGTAGGAGAGCATTTAAGTATTTTCCCAGTACTATGTGACAACAAGACCAAACTCTTATGCAAACATAAGCTTCAAGATAGCTCTGAGCCTCGGTGTTGATATAACTAACTAGCAAAGAAAGCTGACACAGGGTATTAATTTTTCACTTCTTATTAATTGCTGCTAATTAACACTTCAAACAGAGTCCCCAGCCATACTGTTAACAGTAGCACGCTGACTGGCCTGCAATCATCAACATTAAATGAGCACCGCACACCGCTGTACTCCGATTTCTCTGTCAGTCTGAAGAAACTTGTGTCCACTGGAAACCAAACTAAGGACCACAAGCCACGTCGCCAGTCGGTAAACCAGGGGATGGGAAACAACAGCAAAAGAGGCTCAAGGTGACACTACACTAGGCAGGAACACAAAGAAAAATATTATGAAATACATTGGAAAGAGCAGGGAGGGGGGAAGTTCCCTGGTTTCAGATCCCTTGTTCATTGTTTCTGCACAGTGGTGGTTCAAACCGATCTGATTCTTCCCCCACGCAGCTCCCATTCCCCTGGTATTTAATTCATATCCAGACTCTTAATTCACAGGCAGAAAAAGCCAGCCAATATAAAAAAAAAAAAAAAATCTCCTTTATTTCCTTCTTCCCACGGCTGTCAGTCTCAGCCGCACCATTATCTCAAACACGCTGCCTTGTCATCTCTATCAATATTGGCTCTTTGTGTAAGCGCCGGCGTTGGCTTCCTTGCACCATTTTACATTTCTCATCTCCTGTCGACTCCACCCCGTTTTTCCTTCCTCTGGAGTAAGCCCCTGTAGGGAGAGGTCCCCTACCCATGCACACAAATCCAGAACCCTACGGCTCTCACTTACAGTTAGTCCTGAAAAACTTACGATCTCCCTCCAATACATGCTTGGTTAATTGGGATTGACATAAAAAGGCAGGCTACTAGAACACAGGATGCAAAAAATATCTTAACATCCTTGAAGCCTCCTGCCTGGAGAGTGCATCAGTTGTGCCAATGTACGACTGAGTCCTGAATGGTGAAGTGCAAATCCCACTACTTTCCCAAATGCCTCCAATATTCAGTAACATTCATTGACTTGAGATGGCCCCATCTCTCAGTAAGGAGCCCCTCGACGAGTACAGCAGGGCTGCAGTAAGGGCTGCCAGCATGACCCCATGTCCCTGGTGAAGAGCCTCTACCAGGGACCTGGCTGGTGGGATGGTGTGTCCAAGGGCAGCTCCAGGGCTCGCTGCATTTCCAGAGCTCGACCCTAGGTCATTGGTATGTTGGGATATAAGGAATACGCATTTCTTTTTCCAGCCAAGCTGGAGGGAAGCTGAACATGGAGCGGCCCCAGCAGACTTTGGTGAATGCATCTGCTGATTTTACCCCGTCCCCTCAAAGCCAGGCACTACCATGTGCAATTTAACGTAGCCTTGACCATCTTCAAGCCTTTTGCAGGACCATGAGTGAAAAAGCCACTGCAAGCAATCAAGGAAACCATTTGGAAAAAATGAGACCAGATCCACCTCTCTGCAGCAATTGGTGCTGAGGCTCTCAGGAAGCAGGACAGGACTGTGCTGAGACCTGGCCTGCCTCAACCCAGTCCCAGGGCTGAGACAGTCACTCCAGTTGTCTCCTCTTCCATCCTACTTCCAGAACACATCATTTTTTTAATGTCCCTGCTAATGTCCCCCACCTGGCCAAATGGCTTTACGTCAGGTAAAATGGGGGCTCCACAGCCTGAGCAGATAGAGCAAAAGCCTAGGTAGGACACAGGTGACAGAAACATAGAATCACAGAATCATTTAGGTTGGAAAAGACCTTCAAGATCATCAAGTCCAACCATTAACCTAACTAACTGATACCAGACCAGGTCCTGACTCCATTGTTAACTTCACCTTGGGGTCTTCCAGCACAGCAAATCCCCGTGAAACAGCACTACAAGAAATGATGCCCACCAATCCCACTCACCTCAGGTGGGATTTGCCTCACCTAGTCAATCATTTGCAGCTAACCAAAGCATCTCCAAAGGACAATTTGCATCATCCAAGTTGGACACCCAAAATTCAGATGAGATGAACAACCCTCAGGGGGTGCCTGTGCTTGCACAGTACCTGCTAAGATTTTAAACACCCAAATTTGCCAGCA